ACAACTATATAAATAATGTAATTTACAACAAAATAAAAAAAATGCTTTTACTTGAAATTCTTCACGTTTCTTACAAAACAAAAAACAAAATATATATAACTATAAAAGAAAATTGAAAAATGTAATAAAATAAACATATATATATGAAAAATTTTAAAGTTCACCAAATATAACCTAAAAAAAAAAACAATAAAAATGTGACAGTTGTGACATTTCATACCGAATAATCGTACCTCTTGTGTATTGACGCATCGAGATATATTGGAGGCAAATCCATCATGGAATTTAAGTTGCTTCAACCATTGACATATTGATTTTTTTTTATCCCTACTGAGAACATAAGTAACCTTTGGCTTTTTACCCGAATTCACTCCTAATTTTTGGTATGTGCAGACTTTTCCTTTTACAATACAATTCCAAATCAAGTATTGCATTTATGTTATCTTTTGTCATAGGGTCATCCATTACTGTATGAAGGATATTGTCAAAAAAGTTTTTCTCACAATGCATGATATCTAAATTGTGTCAAATCAAGTTTGTGTGCCAATATGGTAATTCCCAAAAGATGCTCTTTTTAACCCAATTGTGCACTTCACCAAATTCGTGAATTTCCTATTTCTGAGGTGGCTTACCAAATAGTACATCGGGCAACCAATGGATGCGACTACGCATCTCATCACCAGACAATCTCTTTGGCATTGTTCCATTCTCTGTACGACCCTTTATGAAGTCATTCTTGTTTCTTCTAAATGGATGATCCAGTGGCAAAAACTGTCGATAACAATCAAAAAATGATGTCTTCCGACCGTGTTCCAACCAAAAGGCCTTCGAATTTTCCATGCAATAGGGACAAGTTAATTTACCATGTGTGCTCCACCCAGACAACATTCCATACCCAGTTAAGTCACTAATGGTCCACATTAGTGCAACACTCATCAGAAAGTATTGATGCTTAAAGCTGTCATAAGTTTGGACTCCATAATACCAAAATTGCTTTAAATCATCAATTAGTGGTCGAAGCATTACATCAATATTCTTTCCAGAACTTTGGGGACCTTGGATAATCAATGAAAGGAATACATATTCTTGCTTCATGCACCTTGTTGGAGGTAGGTTATAAACTAACACAAATACTGGCCAACAAGAGTATGGAGATGTAGAATGTCCAAAAGGAGTGAACCCATCAGTGCACAAACCTAACCTAACATTCCTCGGTTCACTAGCAAACTCAAGGTGAGTGCTATCAAAATGCTTCCACGCCTCTCCACATGCAGGATGAAACATTTTCTCATTTTCATTATAACAATTTAAATGCCAAGTCATATGCTCGGCAGTTTTCTTAGACATATACAATCTCTGAAGTCTATGAATAATTGGAAGATACCACAAAGACTTTCTTGGTATAGGCTTAGCAGAATGCACATCACGCTGCTTAAATCATGGCTCTTCACATACAGGGCACTATAAATAACACTGACTTTCATATTCTCCATAATACAAAATGCAATTGTTCACACAAACATCATACTTTTCATACCCGAGACCCAAACGCCTCAACATCTTCTTGGCACTATAATAATCTGTTGGCAATTTCTCCCTATCAACTTTTTTGAAGGCCATTAGACTACGCTTTAGCACATAGTCCCAATTAGTAACACTCATGTTAAAAAGTGTTTTTGCACTCATGAGCTCACACACCCACTTTATGACAGTGACACCATCATCACACCCATCAAAAAGAGGTGTATCAGCTGCTCGCAAAAGATCAAAGAACTCTTTTGCATCTCCTCTTGGCTCCTCAAATATCGATTATGTACTAACACCATATGGATCATCAAAACTAGCATCAAATTGTGTTGCATCTTCTACTCTTGTGGCACTATTTTCATTATTAAAAAAATTTGGTCCTATGGCATCATGAAGCATGTCTCTGAGTTGATCGACACTTGGAACATTATTCATAGCAACAGTAGCAGCGGCACTTGATGATTCACCCACTTGGGTGCAACGTTGTTTTCTATGAATAATTTCTCCATGTCTTTTCCAAATTAAATACCCATCCATGAAGCCGTTCGTAATAAGATGAGATTGCACTCAACGTCGATGATGCCATTCTCTATTCCAACACTTACTACACGGATATTGAATCATATTCATTGCACAAAACATCGGGTCTATTTGTGAGAATGCAAAATCTAAGAAAATCTCTACCCCAGCATTACCCTAGCATTAAATTCATTGTTCCAATACCCCATTTCATCTCGACGACGATACATCCAACTCCGATCTTCTCCTATAATTAAGTAGTACGTGCCTTAAAAATTCAACAATATCTTAATATTATATAACAAGCACTAGAATCATAAATATCAATTTTGGTCCATCAACTTTATCATTTTACACAATTTGCATCTCTCAACTTTTTTTTGCTCATATTGGTCCTTCAACTATAATGTACATTTTTAGTTCTTCTGTCAATTAAGTTTTTTTAGCACATTGATAAAATGACTAAAAATGTAAACTACTCATAATTGAGGGACCAAAATGAGCAAAAAAAAGTTAAGGGACAAAAATTACGTAAAATCTTAAAATTGAGGAATCAAAATTAGCATTTATCCTTTTAAAATTATATA